CGTAATAAATAATGGAATAAATAAATACCCTCTGTTATAGTTGCTATCTTTCAGAAAATATTTTGATATGTATAGTTCTGTTTGGACAATCATTAACAACTGTATCATTATAATTAGACATGATTTCCGCACGAAGAAATTCTAGGGAGAATGCTTATAAAAGTGCTTAACTTTAGAGATTATTCAAAAGTAACAAGGAATATATAAAGTATTAAACTATTGATTGTAGAAGAGTGTATAAAATAGACAATATATATAAAATTTAATTTAATTTTGAAAACAGAGCGTTTTATACTTAAAATGTAAAATAAGAACTTTATTTCGAGTTTAACGTTTTATGCCAACTCGCAATCATCACTGATGATTTCAGATTGGCTTAATAAAATTCTTCAGTATAAAGTGATTCATCATCAATGATTCAGCAACCATGGTCTTTAGTAAAAGAAGACGCAAGGAAAAGCTAATCAACGGTATCGAATGATGAGAGAATTTATTTTTTGTTTACATTTAGAAATAATCTCATCCCTTTTGTTCAATAGGTTATTTCTTTTGTTTATAATTTTTGAGACTTCTCGTTTAAAAATGGATAACAAATTTTTGACACAGGATTGTATGACTTGCAACGTTTAATAATATTCCTTATATTTAAAGCTGTAAAGCTGTTTTTAATTTTCTATCTTTCTTTAGATGAGTAAGCATTATTTTTGTACTTAAACAGGATTTAAAAATTCGTATGTGTTTATTGAAAAAACAAAGTTCTAAACATCTACTGAGATAAAAGTGTCTTATAATGTTGTAAATCTATCTTCACCAGTATAAATTAAGGAAGCAACGGAAATTATTTTAGATATACTCAATAATGATTATGATTTATCTAAAAAAACTAAACTTAAAATTATTGAAACAAATTAGCTTTTTGATTATTGTCTCCGTAATTACTATTTTAAGTTGAAAAGGAGTCTATCACCAATTAGAAAATTCAGAACCGAATGGTCTTACCTTAATGGTTGTTAAAAAAATTCAAAACATCATGAGTCAAATGTAATTGTCATCGGATTATATATTGAAATAATAATATCAAATCTTGTTTATGATACGTCACATATGAATTGAATCAATCGATAAAGCTAATTAAGTTACTTGATATTCTCAACCAACAAATTATCAGAAAAAAAAATCACTCAGTTTTTTAGATATTTATGATACCAATAGCAAAAATAGCCAGTAGGAGTTTAAGATTTACCAGAAAGAAGCAATCAACAAAATCCAAATTAAACCGGATTCGGGATATGATCAAAAAGTTATTGAAAAAATGATTGAGGTAAATTTTAATTAAAACAAATAGTTAAAAAACTTAAAACAAAAATATCAAAAAATTTATCTCACACAAAAAATCTACTTCCTTTAATGACCTAAAAATTGATTCGTTACCGTGCATACCTGGTATAAACCCAAAACTTAGAAAAGTATATCGGGTTTTCGGCTACAGAGCTGTTTTTAAAATCTAATTCTAATTTAGAGACAATATCAATAAGTAAAATTAATTTAGTGTTGCCGTGCTTCAGCAAACCAGCTGTTTAAAAATTAACTTGTAGTTGCAATAAATTTTATGTAGGTGAAACTGGTTTACAAATGTCAACTTAATATTTACAATAAAAAAAGTCGATATATGACGAGAAATGGAATAACTATGTTGTATCAAACCATAAAAACTTTGTCAAGGAATTATTTACTAGACCGATGCCAAAGTTTTAGCACTGAATTTTAATAAATTGAAAGAAAAATAACAGAAGCTTTGGAAATACAATACCAAAAAACTAGCTCACGCGACCCAATAAGAATAAATATGGAGGCGGTCAATATTTAAACAATGATCTTTTATTCTTATCAAAAATTGACGTCAACACAAGGTTTTCTTTTATCAAGTTTTTTAAACGCTTTTTATAAAAATATTATGTTTTATAGTCTGATGATGAGACCATCTCGTGTTCTCAAAATGTTACTAACAAATAAATAATATAGTCATATGACTATAATTTTTTTAGCAATCTTACATTTTCGGCACGAGCAGATGCAAATTTACGGTGTGCTGTTTTTAATTTTTTTTTTTTTTTTAAAGTTGGAACTGCTCCTCCTGTTTTAGCCTAATACTCATAGTCTCTAATTGAGAACTTAATGAGTTACAATGTGCGTTGAGAGCCTTGTTTTTAGAATTTAAATATATAACTTCAGTTTCCAACTTTGATACCTGTATTTTTAAATTATCTATTTGCTCCACATTATTTTTCACTTTAGAAATTAATTGTTCAACTTGACTACTTAGTTCCTTATTTCTATTTAAAATATAAAAATTATCTGCATCTGCTGATTTTTTTTGTTTTTTTGTTTGTGGAGCTGGAGACAGTTGCATTTTAAAAAATGCTTCGTTTTTTGAAGCTTCAAAATACTTTTTAGAATCTTTTTTTCTTTGTTTTATTTTTCGGCACATTTTATTTAACACATCAATATTAGGCATATTAAACTCAATTGGCAAAAGAAAACTTAAAAAAGTAAACAACGCTTTTGGATGAAAAACTGTTAATAAAATTGAAATCACATTGTTAGTGATCTTACTAGTGTCACCCAGTGGGCACGGAAGTAAAAAAAGACGTCTTTTAAACGTCTTATACACGTTTTAGACGTTTTCTGAACGTCTTTTGAACGTTTTGGACGTATTTTAAACGTTTAAAAAACGTCTTTTTTACTTCCGTGCCCACTGGGCAATTACTCGCTTTACAAAATTAAAGTTATACTCATTTTCCCAACCATCTTCCCAACCGATGTACAGTTTCAAAATTTCCCTCTCAGTTGCATACATCACATAAATAATGATAATGATATTATAATAATAATATAATAAAAGAAATTAAATAAAATAATATTTACAAATAAATACACTAAAAATAAAAGAATTAAGCAACTTATCTGAGATTAGTCGAATATCCACGAGGAAATAATCCACGAAACTTTGCTTTATAATCTTTATTGATATAGTAATAAAATTATAATACAAACAACTTAAATAGAATAATATTGACAAATAGATGCACTAGATAAAATCGGATTGATCAACTTATCTGAAATTAGTCAAATATCCAAGAGAAATTAATCCGCGAAACTTTGTTATTTATTCTATAAAATGTGTCTCGTTTGTTTTGTTTGTTTTCTTAAAATGCATCCGATAATCGTTGGGGACGTAACGATCAGAGTTTGCGTCACCGCTTTAAAATGTAAACAAGAATTTATGCAAAAAAAACTAAAAAAAATGTCGCTAAACATGCCAAGTTTGAAAACATATTTGATAACATAGCTAGAGGTACAGAAAATAATTTTTTGATTTTCTTATTCATATAAGGTTGAAGTATTACTAAATCCACAGACTTTTCAAAAATGTTATGTTTTTTATTCAAAACGAATAAAAACAAAAATATAAATGCATTAAAAACTAAATTTCTATATAAAAACTTGCAAAGTCTGTGGAAATCTAGATAGAACAGACATTCATTAATAACTGTTTTAAATTTCAACCATCGACCATGTAGCTATGTTATCAAATCTTAGTTGGCTTAAGACAGGTTTTGCGTAAAAATCGCAAAAATCAGAAAAGTGATGCCAAATTATTAACATTATTTTTACAGCTTTCATTTTTATTCCGTTTAATGTAAATGTTTATTTAACAAGGAAAGATAGATCTTTTATATTTTTTTTATTTGAAGATGAAAGCATTTATAGAAAAAAATACTATTATTTTAAAGTTAATGAATTTTTATACTTTTTATGCGGAAATACTTTTTTTTTGATAAACTCGTGACGTCAGGCTCGCTTTTATATTGAGTGAAACAGCCGTGTCATTTTGAATGACTCAAAATGACTATATTATTTAAATAAATTTAAAATTAACTTTGTTAATGCTCCACGCCATATACTTACTCTACCAATCTATGCTAGGCTGAAAACTTATGAACATGGATTGGGTACAAAAGAATTTGTATGCTATTCAAATTGTACCTGTATTTCAATGAGATCAGCAAAACTCTCAAAGTAGAAGGAGACTTTGACGCGAGAAACATTGTGTTGTATTTAAATGATAATCCGAAGCCAATTATTATAATGTTTACTGACGGACGACCAGATAAAAACTCCAGGTCTCAAAAAAATATTGAAATAATCGTTTATAACATCCTCATTTTTTCTTTGAATTTCTTATTATTTGCCACAAATGCACCACGTAGAACTGCATTTAATCCAGTTGAACGAAGAACGTTTGAACTTTCACGTCATCTTTTTAAATTAATTTTGCCCAAAATTTATTTTACATCAATAACTTTGCTTAGTAAGTACAAAAATTATTTAATAAGATAAAATGAAGAAATTGCTTTTTTTGAAAACAATGGAGATTTTGAACAAGTAGAACGAATAAGTAGAAATACAAGAGAAAGAGAAAACCAAGCATTATTTTTTTTTTATAGAAGTGCTAAATTTTGAACATAAACAACAAATATAAACAAGTTAAAAAGTATTGATTAAAGAAAAGAATACTCGTTGAGATTTTTTACCAAAAAATAAATTTCACTGCAAAATGAAAATGAAGGAGAGGGGTAACGAGGAGGGGAGTTGTTTGGTGTTTTTTACACTATGTGAAAAAGAGAACTAAAAAGTTGTTTCTTGTGTTTGACGTAATTTGCAAATGAACCCTAATTATTTTAACTCTGAGTATAACTCACAAGTATTAGTGACAGTGCCGTGGCTAATGGGTTGGAGATCCTCTCCCGAAACCAGCATTTAGGGCCCCAAAATCTTAATTTTTTTTTTAAAAAAAAAGCTCATTAAATTTGCAAAAACGCCGCTACATTTCCCCCAAAATTGCTGCTCTTCCCTTAATGGGGGGGGGGGGGGGCTAGCCGTGGCTGTGATTATGGAAATGATACTACCTTATTACAATTTAAAAATGACATTTTTTATTATTTTTCATCTTCAATAAATTTTATCATCTTTGAAGTCTTTTTTCTCGTCTTCCACATTTGATTCTTCGTAATTTTCTGCCATTGAAATCACCAGAGCGACAGCTTCTGGTAAATAACTGTATCATTTTTTGATATTGATTGTTTTAGAAACGAAATCTAAGATCTTTGGTTGTCATCATCTTCTAAAAATAATTTCCATGAACTTTCAAGAAAAACTTAAACGCTTATTGCTTATTAACTTATAGGTTGATTCTTGAGCATCCTCCAAGAGTCCATGAGTAAAATTGAAAACTGGTAGATCTGATGAACCTGAAATAAAAAAGTAACTTATGTTCTACTTATTAAATTTTATTACGAAATTTATTTACTTGTGAAACTTTTGTTTTTATTATTAAGTTATGCATTATAATTTATTATTAACATGCAGGTTGTAATTATTAATCGCTATTAGTTTTTTTGAAAAGAAGATCTTAAGGATTTTATCGCCTAAATCATTAAAAAGATATATATATATATATATATATATATATATACAAGGCCGGCGCGATAGGGGTGTGTGGGGGGGTGTAACACCCCCTCATCAATGATTTTCAGTCGGCAAACTGGACCTTTAGTCGGCAAATGTGACCCTTAGTCGGCAAATTGGACGTAGTTAGTCGGCAAATGTGGACCCCCTTTCGATATAGGTTAGACAGTCGGCAAATGTCGTCATGACAGTCGGCAAATTTTGGAAAACGAGGACCTTTTTTTTTTTTTTTTTTTTCACCTACTCGCGCCGGCCCTGTATATATATATATATATATATATATGTATTAGGGGTGCACCAATGCATCGGAATTCGCATCGGCCTGTTGATGCATAGACCATTTAGTCGAGCATCGGCATCGGTCTTAGTAACCATCGGCCGATGCTAATTGTTTTGAAAAATCAGTTGTTTTTTTTTGTGTGTTTCTATATTGTATGCAAAAATATATTTATTCCATAAACAAAAATGCATGTATAAGCCTAAGTTATTATATAGACATATCTGCAACCACTAAACCTTTCAATATTTTTGAACCATTTTTTATCAGGATCCTCATATAGTAGCTCTAGCTACCTGTATTTAGTATCTTTATATAATTTAGGAAAGTAATTGTATGACTTATGAATTCAAACTATGCAAAGAGATAAGTTTAAAGTTAAGAAATGTAAATTTAATGTAAAATGTAAAATTAAAAATTCTGCCAGATGTTCTTCGTTTTATTTAATTAATTTTAATTTTTAATTTTAATTTTTTTTTTCAAAATTTACAAATTGCTTTGAACGTTTATTTTAATGTATATCAAAATAGTCTATTAGATTCTTAGTTGCTTTGCTCATTGATGATTTATTTCTTATTTAATTCTGTTTATATATATATATATATATATATATATATATATATATATATATATATATATATATATATATTTTTTTTTTTTTTTTTTTTTTTTTTAATTTTGCTTACATTAAAATGTCAAAGTACAATTATATATGCCATATATATCGTGTTACAATTAAATTCGTGTTACAACATTTATTAACTAAATTAAAATAAGAAAAAAAAACACGTTTATGTATGTTTACGTAAGCAGTTTATGTATGTGCGTAGATGCGCACATACATAAACTGCTTACAATGAAACATAAGCTAGGATCTGAAAGAAGATCACAAGATCTTGTCATCAGAACCTTATAAAGCACAAACAAGCAAAATAAATACCAGTATAAGATACTAAAAAATAAAGTAAAAATTAAAATAAAGTACTGAATTCAAGTTGTATAACAATTTTCAAAATATTAGAAGTATCTGAGTATATTATCAAGTGAAATAATACATTTTTTAGATTGAGCTTGAAAAGGTAAAAGGAAGTTGGTAAATCAAAATTCTGCAAAACTATATTATTCCATAGGTGGGGTCCACGATAAGCAATGCAAAATTGATTAAATTTTGTGTGACAAAATGGCTCTTTTAAAAAGTTTATGTTTCTCATGTCGTATTTGTTGTTAGGTTTGAGTTTGAAAGTATTATTAAAAACGGTAGGGGATTGATTATTTCTCCATAGATATACAAAACATAAAACTTTAAATACATTGAGTTCAAATAAATTTAACAATCTCATTTCAGTAAAAAGAGGTTTTGTGTGTGTAAAACGATCGGCATAGTTAATTATGCGGATCGCATGCTTTTGACGACGATAAAGAAGTTTTAACTTACTTTTTACAGTACTCCCCCAAGCAGTGTTGGCATAATTTATGTAACTGTGGATAAAAGAGTAATAAAGTTGTTTTAAGCAATTTTTATTTAGGTAGTTACGAGCTTTATATAGAATCCCAATGTTTTTTGAAATTTTAGTAGATATATAATTAATATGTTGATTCCAGGAGATGTTTTCATATATATATATATATATATATATATATATATATATATATATATATATATATATATATATATATATATATATATATATATATATATATATATATATATATATATATATATATATATATTGACAAATCAAAAAAGGACAATTTTATTCCATAGATAAGCTTGATAGTTTATATAAAATTGATTAAACTTTGTTAAACAAAAAGGTTCAGTTTTCCACACAACATTTGCATAGTTTATGTAGCTATGAATATGTGAGTAGCAGATTTGAATTTTTTTTTAATTTAAATATTATAATATTATTTAAGTAAAAAAACTATACTAACAAACTTCATTTGAGTAGTACTTAGTAAAACATGGTCACAAAATAAGTTTTTCAACCCACAAATTTGAATACAAAAACTTTATAGATTGATGGAGAAATTTTAAAAAGTTCCATGACTATATGTTCGGGCTTTTTTCTTAAAAAAAAAAAACGTCATAAGGAACTACCATATGGAATACATCTGTACTAAAGTTTTTTTAAATATTGGATTTATATATAAGAACAGAGTTTATCTAAATAAAAAAACTTTTGACCAGATTCTATTACGCTTTGATTCATAGCTATATAAATTATGAAGATATTGTTTGGGAAGTAGTGAAAAAACAAATTTCAACGTCAGAAACATGCAACTTAAATATTAAATTTTGTTTTTGTCACTAAATCTTTTCTTTATTGGGATAAAAATACTTAAGGTATGAAACCAATTTTATTTTTATTATATATATATATATATATATATATATATATATATATATATATATATATATATATATATATATATATATATATATATATATATATATATATATATATATATACACACACAAAATGAGTAAATAGATTTATGTACTCATTTATTAAATCTGGAATTAAATATATACTGAGTTTCAATTATTTGCGAAATGGATCATTTTATTGAACAAAGTTTAAACAATTTTGAATTGGTTTGCATGCACCACATTTTGAAACAAAATAATATTTTTCATTACTTAATTTTTTTTTTAAAACCAAATTCAAAACTTAATTTGTATTGACCATATTTTCCTGTATTATTACATAAAACAGTATTTAGTTTTTTACGTATTATAACGAAGCTATTTAATTTTATATTATGTTTATTTTTCTTCCTAAAAACTTTTGACTCCAAGATTCTTGTAATTATTTATCATATAAACTGTTTATATTGTGAGCTTAAACATAAAATATTTTCATTTAACATCTTTTTTTAAAAAAAAAAAAATTATTTGAGCAAATTTACAAGATATACCACACCGTTATCAGTGACTCATTAGTATGTGAAATAAGTTACATGAATTTGTACAGACTCGAATCTATATACATATATTGCAAACTATTGCTATATATGCAAATTTGCACTTGCAAATTTACATTAATACAGAAAAGTAAACTGACTGAAACAATAAAATGTTCTTGAATCTGATTTGGATTTTTTTAATAAAAATATTAAAACATTTAAGCGTACGTGTGCCGGTTTGCAGATTTGCAATTTTAAGCTTTGGCTATTACGCACTTTTTGTATATACGTTTTTGCATATAAACGTTTCGGTCTAAACGCAAACATGTATATGTACCGTAGTGTGCGAATTTTCCATTCTCTTATCAAAAAACATAAACTGCCAATTAACACGCCTATATTTGTTATTGACAATATACAAATTAAAAAAGTAACTGTAACCAACTTTCTAGGTGTTTGTATAGATGTAAATCTTACATGGAAAAATCACATTAAAAACTTAGCAAGTACAATTTCAAAAAGTATAGGAATATTGTACAAAGAAAAAAATGTTTTAAATAAACATACTTTAGTACAATTATATCGCTCATTTATTTAGTGTCACATAAAGTACAAATAAAAATAAACTTAAACTATCTATTGTCAGCACGTAGCACATTCTATATATTTTAAAGACCGTTATATTAATGCCAAGCCTCTATTATTTGAAATAAAAGTTTTAATATATATGAGCTTAATATTTATAATATTTTATGTTTTATGTTTAAATGTAAAACCAATTCATAACCGATTTCTTTCCATAATTTGTATTCAAAAGATAAAAATAAATATACTTACGCAATGATAATTTTATTGAGCAGCCCCTTTTTCAAACTAATCTTTTTAAATTTTGTATTGGTTAACGCGGGCCATTCTTATAGAATAAAATAGTTTTAATAAATTTTAATGAGGATTTTATTCATCAAAGTAACTATTTTTCTTTTAAACGAAGCTTAGAGAACTCATTTTTACAATCAAAGATTTAACAATATACTTCTGATATTTATCAGTGATCTTCCTTTTTACCCTCTATTTTATAAACATGAATTTATAAAAATTATATATATCATTAACAGCTGTAATCTACATATAGTACATATAACGCAACTTGTATTTATAACGAAATATTTTAAGTTTCTTACTTCGTTACTTATATTTAATCTTAAAATAACTTATAAATTTTAACACGAACATTTCTTAGCGGTTTTCGACGACAAGACCGTATGGTCTTTTAAGAGCCCCGCGTTCTTTTATTTTTTAATAAAGATCATTATATATGTATTTTTTATTATTATTATATATTTGTATTTTAAAGTTGTAATAAAATACTTACTTAAAATGTAATACAAAGAGCAACAACAAAAAAAAATTAAAGTGAACAAGTGCAAAAAAAAAAATTTGTGTCACATACATCTTGAATTTGGTCACATACATCTTGAATTTGGTGGCCATCTTACTCAGTTGTGTGAATTATTAGCTAGCGTTTGGTTGTGTTTAATGCATTAAAAGTGAATTTTGAGTTTTTCTAAAGCAATTCCTAGCTATTCCCGTATTTTGTAAAATAAAAGAATTTATATTTGGAAAAGATAGAAGTGATATCAAGCATTCAAAGCTTGAAAATTGCCGTAAAATTATGCTTCTATTATGGAAGAAAATGTCCCAACAACCAAGTTAAAAACTTAGTTTATTCGTTGCTAATGAAAAAAGATACACATATTTAAATAAAATGCTCATATTTTAAGGTAGATAAATTATCTCTCAAACTTTGGGAAAACATTTAATAAGTTTGTCTTTAATAAGTTTACATGTATTTAAGAGAAAAATGAAAATTTAAAAAAATATATGAAAAAAATTTAAGAGTAATATGAGCCAGCTAGCCCTGTTTTTTAATAAACAACCAATCCATCCAGTCATAATAACGTGACTACATCGCGAAATCAAAAGTAACCATATTGAATTGGCGGAAAACAAACTATTCTTTCTTATATTCAAGGTTAAGAAAACATTACTTAATAATTTTATGTCCTACAATTATTTTAAAAATTAATCAAAAGAAACAGCGAATAGATGTCGGCAAAATATAAGTCTTTTAGGTGATTTTACTTTATTTTTACATACTTTTAGATCTTTGTTTAAATAAAATGACGCCTTACATTGTTGTATATTTATATATTTACCACTACTAAATTAAGATGCAATTTAAAAGTAACCCACCAGTAATAAAGTGTGCCGAACAAACATAAACATTACAAGATTTTAAAAAATCATTGCTTGCTACATGAACTTCTATCTTCAGCACGATTTATCGTATTCAACCACTTTCTTTCAAGTACTTCATCTTTCTTTCACTTCATCTTTAGGAAAACTTAGACGTTTATTTTTGATTTTATTTTGTTGCAACCAACTGAACAACAACTTTTTAGGATTTAAAAAAAAAATAACTCAAGAAATCGCAACTGATTTTTGATTTTTGTTTTCCCCCAAGTCAAGATGGTTAATTTTAAAACAATACTTTTAATACGGAGTGACGTCACGCCGACTAGATGGGTGGATCCAGGAAAATGGCAATCTAATTAAAAAAAACTGACAGGAAATAGTAAATAAACTGTGACTAAAACTTTTTTTTCATACGACTTACTATTTTCTTTGTAATGTAATAAAGAAGCGATTTTTCAAAAGTAAGTTTTTTTTGTCCAAAAAAATATAGAGATATTATAATATAGAGAGTGTTGAATAGGTCCTAGTAATTTTTGGGATTTAGTTGTCTTAAGCTGGAGTAGTTTTTATAAATATAAAAATTAATTCAAAAATAAAAAAAATCTAAAATTAAATCTAAAGCTTCTTATTTGAAAGCTAAACTATCTTATTTGAAAAGTTTGAAAAATCAACTTGAATAAACCGCTTTAAAGACCCCATTTTTCGTTTAGAAATACGACAATAAAAATAAGTAAACGTAAACAAAACTACAACTTTCCAGAGCTTGAAAAAAAAAAAAAAAGATTGTGTAAACTTTTTTTTAACTTTAAAACAAAAATAATTTGAAATTTTTTATTTCAAAACTAAACCCAAATAAATTGCAACATTTAAAACCATGTTTTTTAATAAACGTTTTATTTACACAAGTTCATCTAATTATATGGCTTTTATGCAAAACTGCCCATTTTTAAAGGACCCAAACATGGCTAAAAAATTATAAAAATTTTAAAAAAAAACTTTTTACGTTTCATTATATATGAAAATACGCGGGAAAATATTTAAAACCAACACTAGTTTTAAAAACTCATTATTTATTAGTTTATGTTTTATAATAAATTATATGTAAAAAATTAAATTGAGATAGAATCAGAAAAAGTTGCAAGTTTCGAATTTTGCACATTATTATTTTATAGTCTAATAAAGATATAACCGTTTGAATGCTGATATTTATAGTCTAATAAAGATATAACCGTTTGAAAACTGATTTTTGAAATTGAAAAAAGTTAAAAACTGCTGGTGCCTAGTGTTAAAGTCAAAAATAAGGTAATAAATTTAATAAAAGTTAACTTAAGTTAATAAATTAATAAAAGAAAACATTAAAAAAAATTTTTTTCTCGATATTTTTGATTCTAAGAGCTCATGGTAAGGTGTATATATATCTGCTTTACCTGTTGGGACTGCGTAAGCTTCTCTCTGTACATTGTGATGATGTTATGTAGTAGAGAGTTGAAACTTATTCATAGTATAGTAAAAGGGCTTTTACAGCCTTATAAAAGATTTGTATTGCATGCAATTCCTACAACTGTGTAGTTTTGGGTTGTACTCGCTGGTAGATTTTGTTCTAAGTGGCTAGAGTGAATCAAGCTGCTCTGTTTAGTCATTATGTTTATGTATATAGAGATCTCGCTGTATTGAGGGCAGAACTACCACTGACTTACAAATTATGTAAGGCAGCCTCTATTTTGCGTTGTTTCTCCGGGAGAGTCTCAATTTATAGCAAATCCTGCCTCAATGATGTTGCGTTTTGCGGGGGCACTATTGCCACAGACAAACAAGCTGTGGTTTGAGTACAATGGCAAGAGTCTTAAAAACGTTTTTGATGCGCTCTGCGCTTGTCAAATGTTGATGATGAACGCAATGGTTTTCCTAACGGATGCAAGGTTTAAACGTTTTTTCTGTTAGTTGAGCTGGAGGTACTCCTTGACTATCTACTCCTTCCCTGCTGTGCAAAGGGTAAGAGCGACCGGTCTGTTGCTCTACGTCCTATAAGGTTTAGTAACCTGTTTAATTCTGCCAGTAATAGATTATAACCGTGAGGTTGTGCTTAGAATTCTAGCTTCAGAACTAAAGATTCTAGGTTTGAAGCAGGCTCTGGTAATGTATTGTAATGTATGGAAAAGGAAGGAATGTGAACTTTCTGTTTAAATATTACTCCGCGGTGCTCTGCGATAAGACCGTAAGGACTTCTTGGAGCATTTTCTAACCGTGTAATTTCTGGCACTTCCTGATTAAAGATTCTGAATATAAATAACTTGCTCCCAGCTAGTCCTACGTCAGGATTATAATTAAAAAAAAAAAAAATTAAAGTATACTTTTGGAATACTTTTGAAACTTTTTTTATTCTTTTACGTTTTTTTTGTGTTCTTTTATTGCTTGAAATAAATTTCGGAACTAATTATTATTAATTTGGAATCATTATTATTAATTCGGAATTATCATTATTAATTCGGTTAATTTTTTTGATTTTTATGAATGATTTTTAATGATATATTTGTTTATTTTTATATTTGTATGTATAAACATATATTATTTGCGGAATATTAAGGAGTTAGTGATACGACAAACATATGAAGGGTGCAGGAGAAAACTGATGAAATTTGTCTGAAATTTGCCTGAAAAAATTGTGTTAGTGCCATCTAGTTGTATTTTTTGTCCGCTTTCAGAATATTGTATTGCAAAAAGGAAAAAACAATGACAATCTTACGAAAAAAGTGTTTAAAATTGCCCATCCTTTACTGTGTGGCGTCGTATATCTTTAAATTTTTTACTATAAGTTTTTGGTTAAATAAGTATTAATTTAACATTAACAATCCTTTCATTATAGATAACTTGGCAATAGTAATTTTATACGCACTTAACAAACGCACACGTTTTTATTTTATCAGTGGTGAATATTTCTTTAGCTCTATATCAAAATGAGATTTTTTGTTATCTCGTCGTTTTCCCCCTGTACCCTTCATATGTTCAACTTGTTCGGGCCATTTTTATATTTTTAAATACGAATATTTAAAAAAAAAAGCTATAAAAATTTAATTTAATTTGTTAAATATTGAGTGTTTCCTATCGATAATTTATAATTGAATGGTACCTGAATTAAAGATGTTTTAATTTTTTCAAATTAAGTTTTAGATTGTAAGTATTAGAAAAATTTCTTTTGCAAACTGCAAAATTTCATGTAATAATTTGCCATTAATTTAATCTATAAACATAAATCTATTCTTTATTTGATGATATGGTTGAATTAATGTTGCTTCATCTTACAATATTACGATTACTTACTTTTTTTTTAACTAAAGAACTGACGTAAATTTTGTCGAAAGACATGAAAAGTTTCGCTTTTAAAGATATTGTGCCGTAAAAACCAGTTTCAATAGATAAGGTTTATTAAGTATTTATTTTTTATACATGGTTTCTATAAAATAAAAAACATGTGATTTTTAGATAGGGTGTTTTCTTATAACATGACATGAAATCGAAAGCAAGCGTTTATGTTTTTTTTTCCAAAATTTTGATAGTTGATTAATTTTATTAATACGCAAAAGTATGCATCTTTGTTGATAATTTTAAAATCATGTACGTAATATGTTTTATTTTTATGTTTTTTTCGTTTGATTAAAAATAGGTGAAGAACTGTATACTAAATAGAAAACTAGTTTCGCAGACCACGAACAACATTTTTGTATGTTTTTATAACAATGTTTTATCTATAAATAAGTTTTATAAGGTCTGTCTAAAAACTAGTTTTTGTAAATAAAGTAATTCATGTAAAAAACATATATAATACTTACAAAAATGTTTGGAAAATGTTTTTGCATAATGTTTCTTTCTGTATTCCTTTATTTTATAAAAGTATGTTTGTATTACACAAACACATACTTTTATAAAATAAATAAAGGATTACAGAAAAATAAACGATAACTTTATACAATGTATAACGTTACTTATTAAGCACTGAATAAGTAACATTATAGAAACACTTGAATGTTAAATAAATAATTGCAGCGATATGGGTAATGAAAGTGTGTATGTGTGTGTCTATATATATATATATATATATATATATATATATATATATATATATATATATATATATATATATATATATAGAGAGAGAGAGAGAGAGACAAAACATTGTGTAAGTATATATATATATATATATATATATATATATATATATATATATATATATATATATATATATATATATATATATATATATATATATATATATATATATATATATATATATATATAGAGACAAAACATTGTGTAAGTATATATATATATATATATATATATATATATATATATATATATATATATATATATATATATATATATATATATATATATATATATATATATATATATATATATATATATATATATATATATATATATATATTAATTAGTAAAAATCACTTATAAATTTTTTATTTTATACATTGTTTTATTAATAAAGACTTCTCAAAATTTTCTGAAGAGTCTTTAGAGACAAAACATTGTGTAAAATAAAAAACTGATAAGTGATTTTTACTAATTTATTATTGCAATGTTCTTTTAAGAACATTGAGCACTCTATTTTGTAGAATACATTTAAAAAAGAAGATCTAAAACTAAAAGATTCTGTAATAATATTTGTGTGTTAAAAATAAATGAACAAAAGGGGAGAGGGACTAAACTATTTAAAATATACATTTATTTCAAGTAAAATTTAAGGCTTATAAATAAATACTTCATAATTAGTACTATAGTACTAATTATGAAATACTTATTTGTATAATATATATAGAAAAGTTTGAAATCACTTTAATCAATTCTAATCAATAAAAAAACAAGTTTATTATAAAAATTTATTGTTAATCCTAAATTAGATATTTGAAGTAAAGACAAAATTTTGTAAGTTTTACCCTGGGCAATTTTTAGTACTTCATAATTTCTTAATAAATTATAGCTCATCAGCAAATTTCTGAAAGTTATGAATATACATATTACTAAAACACAATTATCTTTTCACTTTATAAATTGCTAATTTTGTGTATTGACCCATCAAAAATTATCTTTTTAGACTTAAGATTGAGTTTTTAGTAATTTGTATTTTTTAGTAATTTGTGCATATACTATCAAGAAAGTGCTCAATGAACTGAGTCAGAGCTATAATATATATAGTAGAAATTAAAAACTATGTGATTTTTACAACTTTAAGTTTCATGCTGTTGCAATCATCAGGTGAAATACAAATAAAGTTTGTTTGTTTAAAAATTATATACAATTGAAACTATACGAAAAAAACCTATACGGAAAAAACTTTTTTTATTGTTATGATTGCGTGCATCTAATCTTCAGGTTTGTGGTTGCTCAATAGAAATTTATTTTTGTGACGACACTTGGAAATCAAACTCTGAAACTTAGATAATCAAGCAACTTTGAAAATCAAAAATCTTGCTGCTTATTAAATCTAGCAAAAAGTGAACTCAGTGTTGTCAGCAAAACATATCTAGATAAAATCAACAAGGACTTAAAAAATAAATTAAAACTAAACTAATAGAAAAACACCGCAGAAGTTATCAAATGGTTTACAAACATAAGCGACAAGCATCACTGTGTATTTATACAACTTGACATCAATAAATTTTACCCATCCATCACAAAAGACATACTAAATAACGCTTTAATAATTGCAAAACAGCACACTGGAATCAGCAATAAAAAAATTTGAGTCTTAAATCATTGCAGAAAATCGCTATTATTTTTTAAAAAGGAAACATGGATAAAAAAGACGTATAATGATTGTTTTGACATCACAATGGATTGTTTTAATGAAGCCAAAGTATGTGAACTGGTGGGTTTATACATTCTAGACTCTTTATCCAAAGCCATTACTAAAAATGATATAGGCCTTAACCGAGACGACAGATTGATGGCGATGCGCAAAAAAACTACCGCACAGTTAGACAAAGTCAGAAAAAATATAATTGAGATATTTAAAAAGATCGTATTTTAAATAGAGATTCAAACCAATTTAAACAGTGTTAATTTTCTTGACGTAACTTTTAATCTTCAAAAAAACTCCTACCAACCTTTAAAAAAACAAAATGACCAACTGCTCTACATCCACACCGAATCAAACCACCCGCCCCAAGTTCTTAAGCAGATCCCTCTCTCCATTAATGATCGATTATCGCAAAATTCTTCCAATGAAAAAATATTTAACGCTTCAAAAACAGAATATGAAGAAGTACTTAAACAAAATGGTTTTAAAAACTTTAACTTAAAGTGCAACCCAAAAAATAAGACACCTTCCAAAAGAAAAAGGAATATAATTTGGTTCAACCCACCCTACAATAAAAGCGTCTCTACCAATGTTGGCCAATTCTTTTTGCAATTAATAGATAAACATTTCCCACCTTTAACCCATTAGATAAACTATTCAATCGAAACACTACAAAAAATAGCTACAGCTGCTCAAACAACATTTCAAAAATTATAAAAAGCTACAACAAAAAAATTAATTTAATTAACACCACTGAAAATCTCCCTTGCAATTGTAAACAAAAAGAAATCTGCCCGCTGAATAAAAATTGTAGAGCGACAAACATCATTTACAAATGTATAACATCTTCCCCAAACACACCCAGCAAAGCATACATTGGTTTATCAGAAGGAGTGTGGAAAAAGAGGTATGGAAACCATAAGCAATCATTTTCAAATAAGAAACTTTCAAATGCAACCACTCTCTCAAAACATATATGGGAAACTAGAGAAAAACTGAAAAAAACACCAAAATTAACTTAGTCTATCCTAAAAAAAGCCCCTGCCTACAACAATACAACAAAAAAATGTTTACTATGTTTATATAAAAAACACATTTGTTATTTCGGTTTTCTTTCCTAAACCTTTTTTTTTTTACTCAAAATTAAATATTATAAAAATGTTGAAGAGCTACTCAATAAAAAAACAGAGTTGATTTCCAAGTGTCGTCACAAAAATAAATTTCTATTGAGCAACCACAAACCTGAAGATTCGATACACGCGATCATAACAATAAAAAAAGTTTTTTCCGTATAGGTTTTTTCTGTATAGTTTCAATTGTATATAATTTTTAAACGAACAAACTATATTTGTATTTCACCTGATGATTGCAACAGCATAAAGTTGTGAAAATTACGTAGTTTTTATTTTCTACTATATATATATATATATATATATATATATATATATATATATATATATATATATATATATATATATATATATATATATATATATATATATATATATATATATATATATATATATATATATACATTTATATGTATCAAGCCTTCTCAGGAGATGTGTGCGGTTGCATACCATATATGACCAGGCATACATTTTTTTTGACAACTTGGCCATGTTTTTTTTTGCATATATTGATAATTTGTGTGTTTTAAATAATGTGCTGAAAAAACCAAACTAATTTAAAGAAAAAACTGAAAACAAAAACAAATTTAACAAATGATAAAATAAATAAAGGATAAACCAGAGAAAATAAAAGCATAAAACTAAATAAAAGCATAAAGACTATTAATTGAGACGATTCTAATTTTTTAATTAAAAATTGTCTTAATTATATTTAAAAGCGTTTCAATTAATTGTTTAAAGCTAATAATTTTCCTATATTGCCATGTTGATGTAGTGAATAGGTTGATTATTTGTGTCATGAGGTGCGACTGTGGTTCGATGTTTTAAATCCTACCAATGCGACTGTGGTTAATGATTTAAAATTAGTAACGGATAATTTTTTTAATGCACTATTTGCTTTGTAGACATTAGGAAATATAAAAGTTTCAAATTTTTAAATAATTAAGTTTCGAAGTAATTTAGCTTGGATCGAATAATTTTGAAACTACCATTTTTCTAAATTATGTATTATTTGCTTTGTAGACATTAGAAAATATCAAAGTTTCAATTTTTAATTAATTAAGTTTCGAAGTAGTTGAGCTTGAATTGAATAACGTTTTTTCTAAATTCTTTGTAGTAAAACGCTTTTAAATTAAAATAAAAACATTAATTTTATGCTTTTAATTTTTTTGGTTTGTTTTTTATTCATTTTATCATTTGTTAAGATTTTAACTTTTAATTTAGTTAAGCTTTTTTTTTTTTTAAATTTCATTTATCTTTCCACTTTATAGTTAGTTTATTTTTAAAATAGTTTAACATTACACTGGTCTATTAGGCGCATTTTTTAAATGTGCTAAATAAAAACATCTTTTAAACAACTTGGTCATGGTTCTTAAGCCGTGACCAAGTTGTCAAAACAAAATATACAAAAGAATGGAAACATTGTTCAAATATAAACATTAGAAATATTTTAGATTATTATATTCATATGCAACAAAAATTATAGAATATTATAAGGTTCAAACTAGCGGTTTTTGGTGTTGCCAAATTTTTTGCTGCTTTGATGATGTTACCAAACTTTTTGCTGCTTTGATGTCGTTTGGTATCACAGTCATCCTATTTAAGACATTCCATATCCTACAAGTCTTAGAAGATGGCTTTAAAAACAATCACTTGGGATTCAAACTTGGCAATATCTGGCTTACAAGCCAGCAAGTTCATTGTCTAAGTTGCAGAACAATGGTGCTATGGTAGAATGATATCATCATTTCAACTTTCTAGAAAATTCCTCCAAAAAGAAAAATGTCAAAGTAGTGGTGCTCTTTCGAATGTTGTTACAACTCTATAACATAAAACTTGATGAACAAGGCCATTGCACAAAAAAACAAACTGAGTGCAATATTACTAGGGAGGCAGTGGTCAAAATTGATACTTCTTGCTTGTGAAGAGTTCTACCACTGCACCACTACCACATTACTACAGACTAAACAAATGGTGTATTTGTTTTTTCCAATATTTGTTTAACAAAATTGAAGTGGCAAATAGAAAAGGTTTTCTAAAAAAAAAAAAAGTCAACAGAAAGATAGTAAAAATATTTAGACTAGAA